TCTTTATTTAATAAACTTTAAAATTACAATAAATAAAAATAAAAAAAGATTCGCCCTAAACATTTCACAACCACCCCCTAAATTTCTACGTTTAAAATTTTCATCAAGATATTTAAACCTAATAATACTCTCCTCGATAAATTCCCGAAACATGTCGATTCTACAATAAACCCCTGGACTTCCCGGATTTCCGCATCCCCACCCCCCGGAAACGATTCCAATTTGAAATCCGTTACAATAAAGCGGTCCACCGGAATCTCCTTGGCAAGCATCAACAGCAATCGGCGATTTACCTTTCGCGTCCATCGCGCAAAATGAACTATTTGTCAACTCGATGATAACGAGTTCTTCTTGGCACGATTGTTTATCAACCAATTTTAAAGAACCACATTTAACTCGATCGCGCCAACCTTCGTGTTTACCCGGTGGTTTCATTCGAGCTTTCAGGATTTGGTCTCCGAATCCGATCACTGTGGTAACTTTGCAGGTGTGCTTGTACATCATATCGTGGAAAATCTCTTTGGATACTAATTTGGAAATGCTGACTTTATTCGATGGGTAAATTCGTTTCTTTAATTTTAAAACGCAAATGTCTGCGTTCATATTTCTGTCGCTGTAATTTTTGTGCATGATGAAATCATCGATTGGACTTGATTGTTCGTAGTCTTTCAGCCAGGTTTGTTGACCGAAGTAGGCTGTTAATTGGTGAAGATTTGATTTATCGAAGTTTTCGCAACAATGAGCCGCGGTTAAAACGATGTAATTATCGATCAAACTTCCCCCGCAATATTGACGACTTCCGAATTCTATACTTGCCAAAAGTGAGTATTCTTCGATTGAACAGTCGTAACCGCTGGTTATTCTTCCGGAGAGGTGTTTCTCTGCTTGGGATGAAGTCGATAAATCAATTGAAATGATAATGTAACAAAATATGATTTTGAGGAAAATCTTTTTTAAGAATAACATTTTTTATTTTCCGAATTAGGATTTGAATTTGACAATTTATTTGACAGAAATATATTTTGTAATAACCTCAATTCCCTTTCCTAACTTATAACAAGTTATAACAGTTTATAACAGTTAAAAAGATAAAAATCTCAATAAAAACATGTATGTAGTAGAAATAAAATTTCATCACCTACATCATTCTTTCCCATTGCTTTTTTCTTAGACAATAAGATTTTGAGATTGGGCAATTGAAACATCAAAATAAGAGGACCATTAAGAATTCAGTGTGTATATTTTGTTGTTAATGTTGTTCGTTCTCTCCTCCACGGTTTTCAAATTGTATTTAAAGTGGCTTTTCGATTGTGTGTGTGAATGTGCCCACGTATTCTCTACTCGAATCGGAAGGAGAAGGACTTAGAGACAGACTAATGAGGTTTTGCCGGCGACAAATTTGTCTGCAAGTTCGTTGTGTGCACGTGGGCGCTTTTCTTCGCGTCTGTTTCAACGCGTGGATGTTCTTTACGATGCAATTTCGACCAATTACAAACCCCAACGTGTTGACACACGTTGATAATAAGCAAAAAAAATCGATTTAATTAATTTTATTTTATTATATTTTTAGAACAACTCAAAAATAACCACAAAGATAATAATCACATTTTCATCTAATTTGTATCATTCCAAATGTTTCTCGGTAGTTATGAATCTGAGAGCAAAAGTGTAAAGGAGCAATATTGTTAAGAATAAAGTTTGCTACAACTTTTATACCAAAACTTTTTTTCTAAAACTTTCCAAATCCCGTGCTCTACCTACAACAATATGTAAAACAACGATTTAATCATATTTTCGTATTTTTCTCAATATTGACGCATCTAACAGCTAAAATGTAAGGCAACAATATTGTTAAGAATAAAATTTGCAATAACTTTTGTTCTAAAAGTTTTCTTATAAAATGCTCCGATTCCCGAGTGATACCTTTAATAACTTAAAAAAGCAATAAATTTATCGAATTTTCATATTTTTGTATTTTTCTCGATATTGACACATCTAAGAGCAAAAATTCAAGGCAGCAATATTGTTAAGAATAAAATTTGCTACAACTTTTGTTCTAAAAGTTTTTTTATAAAATGTCCCGATTCCCGAGCGATACCTTCAATAACTTGAAAAAGCAACAAATTCATCAAATTACCATATTTTCTTATATTGCTCGATATTGACGCATCTAAGAACAAAAGTGCAAGAGAGGAATATTGTTCAGAATAAAATTTGCTACAACTTTTGTTCTAAAAATTTTTTTATAACATGCTCCGATTCCCGAGTGATATTTTCAATAACTTGAAAAACCAATAAATTCATAAAATGTTCATATTTTTGTATTTTGCTCGATATTGACGCAGCTAAGAGCAAAAATGCAAGAGAGCAATATTATTAAGTATAAAATTTATTACAGCTTTTGTTCTAAAAGTTTTTTTATAAAATGCTCCGATTCCCGAGTGACACCTTCAATAACTTGAAAATACAACAAATTCATCAAATTTTCATATTTTCGCATTTTCTCGATATTGACGCATCTAAGAGCAAAAGTGCAAGAGAGCAATATTGTTATGAATAAAATTTGCTACAACTTTTGTTCTGAAATTTTTCTTGTGACATGCTCTTATTCCCGAGTGCTACCTTCAATAACTTGAAAATGCAACAAATTCATCAAATTTTCATTTTTTCGCATTTTCTCGATATTGACGCATCTAAGAGAAAAAGTGCAAGAGAGCAATATTGTTAAGAATAAAATTTGCTACAACTTTTATACTAAAACTTTTTTTTTAAAACGTTCCGAATTTCGTGTTCTACCTACAACAATAGGTAAAACAACGATTTAATCCAATTTTCATATTTTCGTATTTTTCTCAATATTGACGCATCTAAGAGCTAAAATGTAAGGCAACAATATTGTTAAGAATAAAATTTGCTACAACTATTATTCTAAAAATTGTTTTGTAAAATGTTCCGATTTCCGAGTGACTCCTTCAATAACTTGAAAATGTAACAAATTCATTAAAAAGCAATAAATTCATCGAATTTTCATATTTTCGCATTTTCTCGATATTGACGCATCTAAGAGCAAAAGTGTAAGAGCGCAATATTGTTAGGAATTAAATTTGCTACAACTTTTGTTCTGAAATTTTTTTTCTATAACGTTCTGAATTTCAATAACTTCAATAACTTGAAAAACCAACAAATTCATAAAATTTTCATATTTTTATGTCTTGCTCGATATTGCCGCATCTAAGAGCAAACGTGCGAGAGAGCAATATTATTAAGTATGAAATTTATTACAGCTTTTGTTCTAAAAGTTTTTTTATAAAATGCTCCGATTCCCAAGTGACACCTTCAATAACTTGAAAATGCAACAAATTCATCAAATTTTCATATTTTCGCATTTTCTTGATATTGACGCATCTAACAACAAAAGTGCAAGAGAGCAATATTGTTAAGAATAAAATTTGCTATAACTTTTATACTAAAACTTTTTTTCTAAAACGTTCCAAAATTCGTGTTCTACCTACAACAATATGTAAAATTATGATTTCATCTGAATTTCACGTTTTCCAAATTTTCTCGGTATTTATGCATCTGAGAGCAAAAGTGTAAAGAAGCAATATTGTTAAAAACAAGATTTGCTACAACTTTTATACTAAAACTTTTCTTCCAACACGTTTCGAATTCCGTCCTCTACCAATAATATGTAAAATCACGATTTCATCTGAATTTCACCTTTTCCAAATTTTCTTGGTATTTATGCATCTGAAAGCAAAAGTGTAAAGGAGCAATATTATTAAGAACAAAATTTGCTACATCTTTTATACTAAAACTTTTCTTCCAACACGTTCCGAATTGCGTCCTCTACCAATAATATGTAAAATCACGATTTCTTCTGAATTTCACCTATTTCAAATTTTCTCGGTATTTATGCATCTGAGAGCAAAAGTGTAAAGGAGCAATATTGTTAAAAACAAGATTTGCTACAACTTTTACACTAAAACTTTTCTTCCAACACGTTCCGAATTAAATCCTCTACCAATAATATGTAAAATCACGATTTCATCTGAATTTCACCTTTTCCAAATTTTCTCGGTATTTATGCATCTGAGAGCAAAAGTGTAAAGGAGCAATATTGTTAAGAACAAGATTTGCTACAACTTTTATACTAAAACTTTTCTTCCAAAACGTTCAGAATCCTGTGCTCTACCTACAACAATATGTAAAACACACGATTTCTTCTGAATTTTATGTTATCGAATTTCTCTCGATATTTATGCATCTTAGAGCAAAAGTGTAAAAGAGCAATATTGTTAAGAACTGAATTTGCTACAACTTTTACACTAAAACCTTTTTTCTAAAACGTTCCGAATCCAGTGCTCTTCTACCTTCAACAATATGTGAAACAACGATTTCATCTCAGTTTTACCTTTTCCAGTTTTTCTCGATATTTATGCATCTGAGAGCAAAAGTCTAAAAGAGCAATATTGTTAAGAATGAAGTTTGCTACAACTTTTATACTAAAACTTTTTTCCAAAACGTTTCGAATCCCGTGCTCTACTTACAACAATATGTAAAGGCACACGATTTCTGCTGAATATCACCTTTTCCAAACTTACCCAGTATTTATGCATCTGAGAGCAAAAGTGTAAAGGAGCAATATTGTTAAGAACAAAATTTGCTACAACTTTTATACTAAAACTTTTTTTCTAAAACTTTCCGAATCCCGTGCTTTACCTACAACAATATGTAAAACAACGATTTCAGCTAAATTTCGCATTTCGAATTTTTTTCGATATTTATGAATTTGAGAGCAAAAGTGTAAAAGAACAATATTGATAAGAATTGAATTTGCTACAACTTTTGTACTAAAACCTTTTTTCTAAAACGTTCCGAATCCGGTGTAGATTAACTAAATAACGTGTATAAGGAACAAGCCGAACACAATGTCGTTCTGAGGACTGTACAAACTTATCGGGAATGAATTGAGATCTCGCATTTTATGTTTTTGATAGAAGAAACCACGACGAATCGACTGACGTATAGATTTTGATAATCCAGTAAGTCGTTTAGAAGTTATGGTCTCCCAAGGGAAGTTATTTTTGTGTATTTTCGTTATGTTTGAACATTTTAGCGGAATTCGAAAAAGATTTCGAACCGGGCGTTCCCATTTTCGCATTGGCCAATGGTTAAAAGCCTTCGAATAAGATATTGTTCGTCGAATTCGGTTGTGAGGTTCTCTCTTGTTATAAATAAAATACTAGACTTCTTAAATTCTAATTTGATTTTATTTCGAGTTGTACTGAAACAATGATGTGGTTATAATTCTTAAAACGGTCATGTTTTCAAAAAAGTTATTGTACTTATGTATTTATTGAATGTGACAAAAATTTGTCATAAAAATCGATTTATACAGCCACCTTTTTCGTTTTGTGAGTAATAAAATGGTACCTACATTATAAAACTTTATGAGTTGGCACGGTTAAAAGCGTAAAATAAGCAATGAGGTCAATAAATTGCAACGTTAACAAACGTATTTGCCACATAAACAACGTACTGAGAGTGTACAACAATGCAGTCATATAAATTGGGTCGCTCAGCCCTTGGTTGGAGAATGAACGAACGAAAACGAAAAGAAAAAGAATGCAAACGACAAGGAGACAAGAGACCAGGAACGAGAAAACGGGGCCGAAACCGAAAAGGACTAAACTAAATGTGCAAGCCCCGCGGGGCCCACAACAAAGCTGGCCGGCTCGCACCACTCTTTGTATTTATTATGAAAGGGTTACAATCTCTGCCCGGTATGTTGTACGTAGGTAAATAAAAATAATCGTCCTGACAACGAAAACAGCTTTGAATAATATAAATTCAAATAAATTTATCGGAAAAAAAAGTGTGTAATATTAATAAAAGTAAATAACGGTACAATTGAATCTTACCAAGTCTGGATCACAATGGATGTAGGGAAGAGAAGTGAAAAGGAGGGTAATTATAATATTTTATGTGGTCGTTTATACGTGAGACAATACCTTTCACCTTTCGGTCGACCAAAAAGAACGCACTCGGCACCGGAAAGTTCTCATTGTTGTCTTTGAACGTCGATAAAACGGTAACAAAAATTGAAACTAATACATTATTCATGAGTTTGCTTTAAATAACCTTATACGCTTCA